TTGTAAAAACCAAAAAATAAGCACAATGTACAATGGAGTTGCGTACATGGCTTCGCTCTTGAATTACAATGAACGTTATAAATCAAATATATCATATATGTAATAATATACAATATTTGCATTTCATTTAATATTTTCGTTCGTAATTTTATGAAATACAAGAGCGAAATATAGATAAAAGGATTTATAACGGCAAATAACTTCAGTTTAGAAAATAAATGGGTGTAACCTGTGGTGCTGTTATTTTCATACAAAAATTAATGGATATAATTTTTCTTTGATTACCATAAAATCTAATTTTACGTTATATTCACGTGTTTAATACAGAAAATAAGTAAGTTTTTAATCAATCATTTAGTAACCGTGACTTCGTAAGCTATAATGAAGCATAACACGCCTGAAATTATTCCCTTCAGAATTATCCAAAAACTCTAATCTCATTAAAATATTAAGTAAAAATGTAGTAAATTCACTGTTATAAAAGAATCTTTTATTCAAGGATCATCAATATATAATATATACGTAATTTATAATTAATGCCATATACCATCGTTTAAAGTCAATAATAATTTATATTTTGTGCATATTTATTTAGAGTAATTTAGATTTATTTGTAAAAAGTGACAAATCAACAATTACTAATTCTATTAATGTGTATAAATTTTTGCGATGTGCCTTACGATGCATTAAAATTCCTAACTATTATTAGAAATATGTTAAAATGAATTATTTAATAAGTCGATATTAAAAGTTCAAAAGTCAATAATTCAAATTTATTTTAAATATTAAAAAATTTCCATCATCAAATTTGAAAACCCCTATAAATTTCGAAAATGAATAATTCAAATATGAATTAGAAATAACAATCCCGTAAAATCTATACACACGCATATATATATATATATTATATATGACATAGTGTGGCTTTTCAAGGAAAAATTATTTTCCTTTAGGTAATAAATTAAAGTCTATAAAAAATAATAAAATTATAAAATATTATAATTTACAATAAAGATGTAAGTTTTTTAAAGTAAGAATTTAATTTATAATTTTACTACATATTTTCAAATTATACTGATATTTGTGTGTATGCATGTATAAATTAAGTTAAAATTTAAAGGAAAGTACGTAGCACAATTCCATTTCAATTTATTTTAAAATTAGAATATCGGAATTAGAATAATTAATGCGAACAAATTTGTCGTATTTATTTTTAATCAAACAATTTTTTTTATCCACACAGACAAAAAAAAATACAAATAAAGAGAGTATAGTAAAATTTTAAAAAGATTTTCATTATGCATTTATATACATAAATATTAATAAGAATTATTTGAAATGAGTCCTAAGTAATAAAATTAATCAGCTTGAATTAAGAATTAATTGATTGATTTTTTTATTTGTCGATCTCTTTATTACGTAAATTTTTAACATAACCATCCCCAAGAAGCTAAATAAATCAAGTTTAACAGCGAAGATTATAAAATAATTTTTTCATAATTTAGTATACACGTAAAATGAAATTAAAAGATTAAATAAGTTCGTTAAGTCCGGAAAGAGAGAAAATTTAAGAATGTTAGAGACAAAGACGAGAGAAGGAGACTTCCGGCAGTCTCTTTACAGTATAAGACATATATAATAATAATACAGGACACGTGAGAGTTCTGCAAGCAAAGTATAAATAGTAATTAGCCACGACGTTAAGAATACATTACTCAAGATTAGAAAAGTTCCAATAATTCTCATAGAAGCTTAAGAAAATTGGTGAATTTCTATAGGGAACGGTAATGAAGTACTGTAATATAATAATTAATTGAAGATTTTTCTCCATCAAGTATTATGCATCTGTGAAGCAAAGTCATCGATCGATGTAGAAATTTTTTTAATTTATGCATATTATTATAAATATTCAAAATGGTATTATATATTATTTCTCAATATAATTCATTATTCCTTTTATTTTAATATCTAATCATATAATTCAAACGTTCTTTTTAAACTTTAGACGTTATATCTTCTATCCATACAATATCTATGAGAAGAATACCTAACCTATTATTATACAATAAAAGATTAATTATTAATACGATATATATATATATATATATATATATATATATCCTTTATTCAACGCCAAATTCATTAAATCACTAAATAACTTACCTATCCTCAACTAAACCTAGTTTATATACTCATTTAAACATTGGTTTATTGTCGCATGATTATGTACAATTATTTTTTCTCCCCACTTTATAAATGTGAAATTATTAGAGAACTACATTATTCGTTATGTAAAACTTGTTTAATTAATAAACGATTTACGCTAAAAGTTTTTCAATTTCAAACAAAATAATTAAAAACTTTGGCGAATAAGAAGTAAATTTAATTAATTGCTAAACGCAATGCGTAAGCATAGAAAAATGCTTATCCATAATTTTCGTTGCTTTTCAACTTTATCATTTTATCGAGTCCTTAATCACAATTTTCCTCATTCGAGTATATTAGTATAATGAAACAAAAAAAGCAAAACCTTTATGCCAATTAAATAAAAAAATTTTCAAAAATATCTATTACAAATTGATAGTGGGTTGGCAATAGATATATATATATATAGAGAGAGAGAGAGAGAGAGAGAGAGAGAGAGAGATTATATATATACAAATAGTTTGAAAATATATTTTATCTCATAAACTCTAATTTTCATAAACAAAAACATGATCTTGAATTTACAAGTTTATGAAATAATCTTTCGCAAGTTACATTTTTATGTTGAAAATTAAATTATTACGTGATATCATATTTAATAAAAAAAATTATATTAATTATATTAAAATGTTACGGTGGATAACGTAAGATGCTTTTAATATAATGTACTTTATCAATATTATTTAACAATGAATAATAAATAAAAATAATTATAATTTCATATACTTTATAACAATATTATATAAATCATTTGTATTGTATTTATACGTTAGAAATTGAAACAACTGAAATAGTTAAAACAAAAACAGTATTTTATATACTAGTAAAATATAGAACAAAATTAATTTTTTATATGAGATGCCCTAAATTCAACTTTCCTATATTTTCTAGTAAAAATTCATCAGTCTTAAACACAAAATTCAAAACATTAAAAAAAAAATAATTTTTTACTTAAACTGGCGATTGTCTATTTGAATGAGCCTTATAAAATATTCAATAAATTGAACAATATCTAAAAATGTTAACCACCAACTTTGAAAAAACAATTTTAAGTACAATTTATTTATTTAAATACAATTTATTAATACAAATTAATAACTACGGACATTACAGAATACCAATTTCTTATTAAAAACAAACTGTTTTTTCACCCTTATCCCAATTTATCGAATATCTATGGTAAAACCATCATAGATTATTTAAATAAAGTTTTTAAAATTCACGATAATGCATTGATGACTATTAAATATTGAAATATCGACTTCAAATATTTTTGTCGTAATTCAATACTCGACTTGAGTCACTTTTTAAACAAGTAATATTCTATTTGTAAAATAATAAGCTATATTAGTCAATTGTTACATAATAATAATAGCTAATTTTATTTGTTAAAGAAAACTATTATTATTAACATTAGTAACCATTATTCCGTAAAATTATTATTCATCAGAGACTAAGTTTATTATTCGCTTATTGGAACAATTTTAGTTAGTCGATATTGAAATTTAAGAAGAACATTTACGGGGCTCAAGATTTCTTACATTCATGAAATATAAAAAATAAATGAATATCATTCTATTTGTGTGAATTTTCACGATGTAATAATTTAACAACGGTTTGGTAATTTAATTCAATTTTTATTTATACTCTAATGATAAAACTTATAAATTTATATATATATATATATACCGAAAAGTTATATCAGAATAAAGCATTTTTGTTGTTTCTATCTTATATATTTATCCATCTTTACTTTTTGCCTTATAATGTGCCTAATTGTTGCTTTATATATTATTCTGTAAGGAATATTCCCTTATACTTTTTAAATTTTAATTTAATAATATTTTAAACTCGTAATGGTAGTACCGTAACCGTAGTTGCATCAATAATGTATCGTTCTTTTGTTGACTCAAAAGTTAAAAAATATGTAATTACATCAGATTTTTAAATTCTTATATTGCCAGTTGTGATTCAATATTGATTCAATGCAACGATCAAAGCTCAAGTATATTATTCAATATTAAAATATTATGATATAATGATGCGTCAATTTTTATAAAACTAAGTATTGACGGTTACGTCGATAAAGCAATAAATGAGTAAGGCTAACGAGTAAAGTTTGTTTATTTATAAAACGTAAATATGCATAAAACTGGCTTAAAGATTTTATCATTTCGGGACTAGTAAGAAAAATAAAATATTTATTAATAATGGCAAGCATAATAACAGTTAAGGATAGTAATTTGTACTATCTATGCTAATTGTACAAATACTACACATAGTAATAGTTAATAGTTTATGCAGTAAAATATACTTATTTTATAATTGTTAGTCAAATAAAAGATGAACGACAAATAAATAACAACATAATTTATTATGTTCTGATAAAGCTTTTAATATAAATTAAATTACATTTATATCATATGTTATAAAATACAATTATTATTATTAAAAATATTCCTAAGTTGTAAAACTTCTATATCAAATATGTACAATTTTTAATAATAATTAAAATAATCATTGCTCAGTACTCCGGAAATTATTATAATATTTAAAAAATTATTACCAGCTAGTAATATATAAAATGCATTTTCAGTTAAATTATACATATTTAAAATTTGTTTAGGCTTAGTTAAAAAAATTTATGTAATTATTTGTTATCTACAGGAGCTATCTGAATCACTACTTGACATATCTGAGCTGTAGTGAAAAATCTGTAAAAAAACAATACTATTTTTAAGTATATATATATATATATATATATATATATATATATATATATGTAAATCAAGTATTTAGAGCAAAATTAATTTATTAATTATTACTTTGTTCGGGTTGCTTCTACATGAAGAACTGATAGGTGAAACGGAAATAGATACAGATTTGGCTTTTCTTTTTTGACGTCTGCAAAAAGTAAAGAATTCCATTCAATCTATATAATTAATCTGTATTTCAATATACAGAAATTTTTTATTAATTTAATGTTACACGGCAATTCTTACACATACACGCTGCACGGTCGCGCAAGCACACAAAGATTTAAAATATAAAAACATTTATTTATTATATATTGTTATAATTAAAATGTATTATTGTATGATATTTTATATGAAACAATAAGTTTCGTAAAACTATAATAAATTGCTTAAAAACAAATAGTCGACGACTGATAATTATCGATATATGAATAATAGATGATTGATACATTGATAATTCAGTATTCTTCGATGCATATAAATACATTAAACAATAAATGCAATATATTATTAATACGTATTTTTAGTTCGAGATAAATTAAAGAAAAAATCAATATAAATGCATGCTTACGCTTAGTTTAATAATTGTAATATATTATTATAAATAATGGTATTTCATCAACGATAAATAATGTAATATTTCATAATATATTTGTAAACTACACTTTGAACAATATTTAATAATCGTATTATATTGAATTACAATTCTAATAAATATATTCAACTTCATAAATGTAATACATTAAAATGATGAAGCAAAAATTTGTTGAAGTTAAGACTTTTACATTAAAGTAACCTGAATAATTACCTAATAATTAATAATAATTATTCGTGGCGATGAAATATATTGCAATAAATATTTTGTACAATCGTAACATTATCATAGTACAATGATGAGAAAATAGTTTTAAAACCAAATATTTAATATATTGTATTATTGGATTATACTATTAACTAATATTTTATTTTGCATTATTAAAATGCGAATTGAATGTATTATGGACAGATATTCATGGCTTTTAAAACATTTAATCAAACTATATTAAATTTACTATAATAACTAAATAATTTAAAACACATTTCATAAAAATATATTAAAAATAATGGTTTTTTTTTGTTTTTATAATTTCACTAGTATTGGCATATAATATTTTTTGAGGTTATAAATATTGAAATTATTAAAAATTCTTGGATTTGTTATCCTAAAATTGTGTTTGTAATGATACCGAAATGCTAATTAAAGAGCTCTTGTGTACCTAAATTCATAACATGTTCAATATAATATTTGTTTATTGTTAACGCATTCAATTTTATTAATCTAGCCAAAGTATATATACGAACATAATTAACACGAACTTAATTAATTTCAATATTATTTGATATTGCCATTATCTCGCAAATGAAATATATAAAATTAATTCTTTCCAATAATCCGTACATTATTCTATAATTATAAAATGTTATATCCATTAAATATCCATAATCATTGTTAAAAAGCAATATTGCAGATTAGACTAGAACGTAGATTTTAAGTAATTTATGAAAGTACTTACTTATTAGGAAGTCTTACATTATGATGTGAGCATATTAACTTTTGACTATCATAACTCATAGAAGCTAAATATTGATCCTTTTCAATAATCTTATTATATTTGTTGGGATAAATTTTGCAACTGTGCCTCCACCAATTTGTTATTTTGTTGCCAACACTTGTCCGAGACGCCGTTGATGGACTCGACTCTGGGTTACAGAAATTAGCATTTTTGAAAATCATTGCCGTGCTAAAAATATAATGCCATAAATTAATTATGAGAACGAATAAGAAGTCTACATTGTACATAATTTCATATGACCAATCCCAATAGTAAAATTAATAAAACAAAAAACAAAAACAAAACAAACAATAAAAAATACACAGATGAAATTATGCCAAGATAATTGTCAATGACAATATCGATAAATAAGCAATCACTTATAACGTTATATGATAATATATTTGACATAAGGTAGGACATTAAAGAATGTATTACAAACAAACAAAAAAAAAAATGTATAGAGTTATTGTTAAATTTGTTCTTATAAAAAAAATTTCATTTCTCTGTATCCGTCTCTCTTGATAATAATAGTACAGGAATAAAAGTAAAATATACATTTTTATTCATATTTTGGCCGTTGGCATTAAATTCACGCAATGTAAACCTACTCTGAACTTGCAGAATCGCAAGTAGAACATTCATCGGAATGTTTATGATGGCATCTATAACAAACGAGTATCAATCCAACCAACATCCATGCGAGTATTGCACTAGAAATAGCAATAATAATTAGTTCTATTGGACTAAGGAAGCTTGGCTCTGTTGTTGCAACTAAAAGAAAAATAGAATACAATCAAGATGAGAATAGATGCATTTGATTGGCCGACTTTAACGTAATAAAAATGTATGAAACATTGATTTGTTTGGTATTAATGAAAATGTTTTAATTATTATCGTTTTATTATCAATTATCAATGTAATATCAATTATTAGAAATAACCTTTGGTTGGCTGTGGCGTCGTAACAATTGTCTTCAACGACTCCGATGTTCCTTTATTGATAAATGGACGTTTTCGTGAGTGACGTGCTTTTCCGTGGTCCTCGACTAACGGGAAAACAAATTTCGCAAGTATTTTTTATGAAAAAAAATGACAATCCAACTGGCTTCGAAATAAAGAAATATTTTGAGCTGTTGTAAATGTTGTTTACCTGCTTTCCTCAGGTACGCTATCATTCGCAATATACTGCCAAAGGCCGGATAGAATTTATCATCGTTTAAACGTGGATAAACCTACGGGTGTATTTATATTAGTTTATCCGGTTTTGATAATGACATCAATTAAATGGCAAAATCTCACCACGTACGAATTGCAGTAACCAATTATAAAATTCTTTGTTGAAATGAGCGAGAAGGCATTTGTAATTGCTCACGGTCAAAATACAATTCACGCATGTTTCATAATATGTGGACAATATTGAAATGGACTCCTCTTCGTGCAAAGACCACAAATTCTGATCTTTAAATGGTAAAGCTATGCTGGAAATTGTTTGCGTTACAAAAAAAAAAAAAAATGCTAAACTAATGGAAATACATTGCGGTTACTTTAAAATTACCTATTCGGCCTTAAAATATTATCCAAATAAGGTAGAAATACGCTTAAAGGTTGTCGTTTGGAGCCATTGACACTATGCTCTGAATTTTCATAAAGAGCAATAAATTATTTAATAAAAATGCGCTCGTAAATAGCAAATAATAAAATTTGCACTAAATAATAAATTAATATCCCGACAACATATGACTATAATATCCAATACCTTTTTGTAGTAAGATAAATCTGTTTTTATTTATGCTATAGTTCTTGCGCCCAGATACCCCATTTTTACGCAGTACTATTCTCGAACAATAACGAACATTAAAAAAAATATTCCAAAAAAAAACTTTTAAAATTACCAAGAGAAATATTAGGTTTCAAGCACCTACCGTTCGAGTTAACTATCAAGTTATTACAAGCCGTAGTATCATTCGAATTCTTGAGTACGATTGACGTAGTATTAATAAAATGCTCCATTTCCATTTCCATATCCGTTCTTCTCGGTTTTCTCCAGCCCTCGCCGTTCGTATTCAAGAAGGCCTTTAGCTCCATGTAAAGGGCAATTATTTTCTTAACGTTACAATATTTAACATTTCCGGCGTAGAAGGATAACTTGGTAACTGGCAGCAAGTGCGAGTATAAGTAACCTCCGATGACGTCCGCGAGTGCCTTCAACAATAAATGTCTCGTCGTGCCTGTCGACAACTTACACACGTACTCGAAGCAAATGTAAAAATACTTGTAAAGATCGACTATATACTGATCGCTCCAAATATTTGCCTTTTCGATCTATAAATTACAATGGCTTGTGTGGTGTTTGTGATCATTAAACTTTGGCATTATACACACACGCGCGCGCGCGCGCACACACACGCACACGCACACATGTATATATATATATATATATATATATATATAAATCAGAGACTCTTTTTATTGAAATATTGACGTAATAATATTTGAATTACGATACCTTAGGTAATAGATCCTGAAACATTTTACGACTACTGAGTATTACGTACTCCTCATTAGTCCAGCAATGATTATTCAAAATGCTTTTATCGAATAAAACTGTCCCATGGGTTTCTTGACCACTTACTGCGTTTAAGTATGATACGCTAACCGAAAATATTCTTAGAAAATTACAAATCACAACTTTATCACAATCAATATTAGGCAAGTAGGTTACCTGTCTTTTCTATATTCCAATGATATAATGATAACTAGTATAAAGTAAACGAGCCACAATCCCATGCTCTAGAAGAAAATCTTCAACTTTAATTATACTTTTCAATCATGATTTTTATTTAAAAAATTCTGCATGCAATGCCATTTCTGTAAAAAGTCGCCTGAAGTTATTCATAAACTTAACGATTCTCATACCTTTTCCATAACCTGCTTTACAAGCTGTAAGAAATAATAGATAACAATTTCTTCCTCAAAGACTTAAAACATCGTTGCTTTTCAGCTATAAATGTTTAGTTTGAAAATAAGTGCTCTGGACATTGCCATTACATAATAATTTAATGTATCTTAATTTTCATTAAATATTAAACACTTTTTCCATCTTACGGAAAACCTTGTTGATTATAATCTACCAATACTTAATTTTCAACTATAGATAGTATTGATACATTGAGGTATTTAAACAGCGATATAAGTTAAATAATTCCTTTAATTACTATTAGTTCGAGTTAAATATTTTCTATGTACTCCTTTGGATTAACGTAGACAATTGTGTAGGTAGGTATAGACTATGTAAAGTACTAAATACTACTACTTTAACTACTATATCCTAATCGCGTTTCTCATTATCCTTCGATACACGAATTTAAAGAATTTTTTCATTACATCGTCATTATATATCCACTATTAATTGCATTATTATCGACTATATTACGACTATTACCATTCGTATTTATTGTAAATTATTAAGGACAGTCTTAGAGAATTATGATAAGGAAAATAATGAAATAATTTAACGATAACTCGTGAAAGCATTTGGTGCACATTATTTTTGTTTTGGCACATTATTATAAAATAATCGATTACAAATCATCTTAACTATAATTTTGATAAATTTCATTGCTCAAGGTGAAGGTTTGTGCTGCTATCTGACGCGTTACCAATGAAAACTTTCTCAATGGTAAAAGAGCTCTACTTATCTGACTAAATAAATTTACATAGTTATTTTAAATAATTATTGTAAATAATACTCGTTAACAAATTGCCAACTTTATTATCTAACATTATTATAAATATATGCGTATAAAAAATATATATATATATATATATAAATTATATAAAAAATAAATATAAAAAAAGAAAAAGGTATCTTTGTACAAATAAATTAATAACGTATGCTGAAAGTTAAAGAATTAATAATATATGGAAGAAAATCCAAAATCAAAATGTACAATTTGATTTTATTTAAAATTATCTATTAAATTATTCTATCAAATAATATAATTCTATTCGTAAAATTATGATATGATAAAGTGATATTTTAATTGTCTAGATTTAATTGTCGTTTGAAGAGTCATTAAACTCATAAAGGATTTATTTGAATTTAAATTTCATTTACTTGCAAGCAAATATTTGATAAAATTGAAAGTATGAAAATTAAAAAATGTTGAAAAACGAATTTTTTTTTTATTAATCTTTTATTACATTTTTGTTTATTAACCTTCTATTACATTTTAACAAGTCGAAAAGAATTTTGTAAGTAAATAGATTCTCCAATAATGAGTAATAAGTGAGGCGCATAGTACAATTTAGCAAGTGCTTATGAATTTACCTGTTAGCAACATTGAAGCACTTAAAACTTCGAATAAAAGTTTATTAATGATTTAATTCGCAATCATGATAATAAATAATGTGTTAACATCACTTTGTGAACCGAGACTATTTTTATTCGATTAAAATCATTATTCTAAAGATTTTCATCCACATACGTATATATTTAATTTATCTATTATAAATAATATTTAAAATGATATATATTCGCTTGAGGAAAGTATGCTAATGCAATTAACGTATTGCAAAAACTTAAAACGTACATTATAACTTATCTATATATAAATTTATCCACATATTAATAAAAAATAATTTGAGCTTGATTTCACTTATAAATAATTCTTTCAATTATTCATTTATCAAGTTTTTTTTTTTTTTATAATCATTCCCAAAGTTACCACTTAAAGACGCGTTCCAGCACCGATCGAGCAACAAGAAACAATACCCGACGCCGATAAAGCAGAGTTCCCGTCATACCATACGCACGGAGCTTCGTATCCGAGATTCGGTAAACGACTTTCAGCCGCCATCCGCCGACCCGCCAAAAAACATAAAATTTCCTCGCAAAACATCGTCGTACCCGAGAACAACACCCACCCGTTCACTCTCGGGGCTCTCGCCATCCCACGGGCTTTCCCGAAAATTTCCTCGAAACCCTTCGTGCATCGTCTACCCGGGACCGACTACTTTCCACCAGCTGATACAGCATCTGACGTCACGAGTAACAAAGTCACATCGTGCCGTCCGTCGATGCGTATTGAACTTCTCGCCTTCCCCCTTTCTCCTTTGCCCTCGCAGCCGCCCGCTGACGACGGCGCCGCGCGATACCCGACAACCGCTCCCACCATCGTCGCTGCCGCCGCCGCTGCCGCCGCTGCCGCCGCCACCGCTGCCGCCGCCACCGCTGCCGCCGCCACCGCTGCCGCCGCCACCGCTGCCGCCGCCACCGCTGCCGCCGCCACCGCTGCCGCCGCCACCGCTGCCGCCGCCACCGCTGCCGCCGCCACCGCTGCCGCCGCCACCGCTGCCGCCGCCACCGCTGCCGCCGCCACCGCTGCCGCCGCCACCGCTGCCGCCGCCACCGCTGCCGCCGCCACCGCTGCCGCCGCCACCGCTGCCGCCGCCACCGCTGCCGCCGCCACCGCTGCCGCCGCCACCGCTGCCGCCGCCACCGCTGCCGCCGCCACCGCTGCCGCCGCCACCGCTGCCGCCGCCACCGCTGCCGCCGCCACTGACGCTCGCCAACTCAATCACGGGTCGGTTCGGTCCCTTTCCCGTCCACCCGCCAGCCCCGCACCCACCCCCACCCCTCGTCGACGCTGCTCCCGCCAACCAGGCGAGGGAATGACTACCCACCGACACCGAGTTGAGAGCAGTTTTCCCCGTCCTCGCAGTCGAGATTCTCGCGCGCGCGTGACCTGAGAGCGCGAACTGCTCCTCCATCTCCTTCTCCTTCTCCTCATTCTCATTCTCATTTTCTTCTTCCTCCGTCGAGGAGACGCAGCAGGACACATACGCAGGGAGGTCAGAAGTCTGAAGACAGCCGCAGCAGCAACAGCAGCAGCAGCAGCAAGCAACAACAACAACAGCGGTGTCAACGACGACGACGACGAGCCTCACTCGAGCCTAAGGACCAAGCTTACGCGGGTCAGGCACAGGATACCTACTAGCCAAAGCGAATATATACACGGGCGCGCGCGCGCGCATATACCCGTCCTACCCCCCACCCCCCAACACCCCCCCACCCACACCCCCCCAAATACACGCGTACCTACCTATACTTACAGTAGCACGTACGAGCGCGGCACGGGCACATACCATTACGTACTGTGGACGTACGCAGAGGTGGAAAATGCCATTTATATCGAAGGACTGGAGGAGCCCCGGCGAGGAATGGGTGAAGACCGTCGAGGGCTGGGAGAAGAAAAAGATCCTCGAGTGCGCCAACAACAAGACGCTCTCGCTGTTGCTACGGTGAGTGTGTCTGCTGCTGTTGCTGTTGGTGTTGCTATTGCTGCTGCTGCTGCTGCTGTTGCTGCTGCTGCTGTCTTGTGCGAAGCGAGCGCAAGAGCAGAAAGCACGAGCCAGACAGAACAGAATTAAAGAGAAGCATTTAGGAGAGTAACAGAGAGAGAGAGAGAGAGAGAGAGAGAGAGAGAGAGAGAGAGAGAGAGAGAGAGAGAGAGAGTGAGAGAGACGAGCGCCCCTTTCGCTTGTCTCTTCCGCGCGCGTTTGCTTCCTTCCCATTGTCGTGTCGCTTCAATGGATGCTCCGCGGTCTTGTTTACCTGGCGCATGCATTTTATTATCAATTGTCCGCGACGTAGGTGGTGGTGGTGGTGCTGCTGCAAACGCGCGTACACCGCGGTTCCAAGACAAAGGAAAAGGAGCGTGATCGTGTACCTGTGTGCGCTTCGATCGAACCTCGTCGAAGGTTGCCTCTTCCAGTTCCTCGCCTACCCCTGCCCCCTCCCTCCCACCGCCCCGCACGCCCCTCCTCCTCCTTCTCCATCAATTTCTTTCTCGCTCTCTCTCTCTCTCTCTCTCTCTCTCTCTCTCTCTCTCTCTCCGCAACTCGCTCTGTCGTACCTCTACACGCGACATCGGCTCGACCAGACCTCCCCCTCTCCCGTGACCTGCGGAAAATCAGCCACGCATAGATGCAATAGACTGGGACGATGTTTCCCTTTTCTCGGGCAGCTTTTAAAAATGGCAGCGCGCACCGTGAGAAATGAGAGGCTCTCGCCTCCGCAGAGAGAGAGAGAGAAAGAGAGAGAGAGAGAGCGAGAGAGAAAGAGAGAGAAAGAGAGAAAGAAGTAAGCGGCGCACGCACAGCTGTTGGCCACAGCGCACACATCGATAGCCTTTGTTTGTTTACATCGGCGCGGAGGTGAGACTGACGACTGTCAGGCGATGCGCAGTGCCGAGAGCGACTTCTCGTATCTTCTCACCCAGGATTTTCAAATCTCTTATTTTTCGCGGATACGATCTACACACAGAGAGAGAGAGAGAGAGAGGCGCGCACACGCACGCCCTCTCCCTACCTAGTCACCACGTTACGTCCCCGCGACTCCCGATGTCCCGTACATATACGCGTCGAGCGTTCCACCTTACGACGCACTGCCGCCACCTTCTCTTCTCGACCTACAGCGTCGTAGGCAGTCCTATTGTGCCTTATTGTTCCCTACCTATCACTACTTACACACTAATCGGTCTCGCTCTACGTCACTGCATGATTCTCGGGATTATTCTTAAATAAGTCGCTTAATTATCGAGCGTGCATAACCTAACCTATCGTCGTTTATTTTATAAATTTCTATTCGTTTGTACAGGGGCAACGCGATTCCTAGTCTTACATAAATAAACTTATTCACGCCTGCGCTCGTAACCGCCCAACATCGCTTCGCTCGTGCATGGAAAGCCTTTGACGTAATAAGAACTTTCTTTCGCTTCTTGTGCGTGCGCGCAATTTCCATAACAAACACCTACGCGCGCGCGCTCGTAAAAAGATAGAGAGTCGTCGTAGTAGTAAAAGTAATGCTAAAATTTCGGCTTCGCTCGGCAATGAAATAATTATAAAATCTCGTTTATTAGTTATGCTATGAAATATGTGGGAGGCTAGGTTAATCGTCGTGCCTCGTATAGCTTTCACTTGAAAATCTGGGTGAGTGCGATGGAGCTTGCCGCGTCAATTCGTACGATCGACTTACGTGCCTCAAACATATGTACATTCCTATTGTTTATCTCGCGCATTCTCGGTAAATTTAGCCTCGCGAGTACAGCGAGTCATGCGCATATCAGCTTCTTTCACATTATTCGCTCGAACCAAACTCCGCGTACTTGCATACTTCGAATAGATCAAATATTGAATATCGTTAAATTTGAGGTGGTAGAGGAGCGCACTGCACTGATCGTTGGATGCCCGAACGATTCGTTGATTAAACGAGGCTCGTATGATAATATAAGAGTCGCGAGCGTTGCTAAAGAGAGAAGAAAGCTGAGAGAACTTTACGTCAAATCGTAATTAAGTGGATAATAATAAGTCTTATAAATCGCAGTCTTTTCTCCTAATGGTCTTATATTACATATTTAATAAAAAAAAAGAAAATAAATAAAGAAAAGAAGAAACAGAAAAAAACAGAGTATACGTTATGTTTACGCTGGTATTACAAATAATAATAATAATGATAATAATGATAATAATGATAATAATGATAATAATGATAATAATGATAATAATGATAATAATGATAATAATGATAATAATGATAATAATGATAATAATGATAATAATGATAATAATGATAATAATGATAATAATGATAATAATGATAATAATGATAATAATGATAATAATAATGATAATGATAATGATAATGATAATGATGATGATGATGATGATGATAATAATAATAATAATAATAATAATAATAATAATAATAATAATAATAACAACAATAATAATAATAATAAAATCCGCCCAAAACTTTGTATGGATTAAAGTAAAGACAATTAATTAGAGTAAATTATGCATGAACGTCGCTCTTTTCAAATTACACTGAATTCGTGCTTTTCCGCTGTGTATAAAAATTTACCATTTTAAATTCTGAATGCATTATGGTAATTGCCTTGCAGTTGCCGTTCCTTCTCTCTCTCTCTCTCTCTCTCTCTCTCTCTCGCTCGCTTTCTTTTAAAGTATATAAAAACACAATGTGCTATTATCGATCACATAAGATGTCCAACATCTTATGTAAACAGATAATTTCATTTGATATCGTGCGTTTTCTAAATCGACGACCTGGTAATCGTATATTCGCATAAGCTGATCGAGCGTATTTTTTTTTGTTAATTTTAATTAAAATTAAATATCCAATAATTTATATCAGTGTCAAAGCTGCCGTGTTAGTATAATGTCGATGGGGGAACGCTTTATTCTTTCGATTTTCAACGTCCGTTATTATTGTGGATAATGTCGAAACATTGAGCATTATATAGATGAAAATGAAAAGAAAAATTATATTGGTAATCATAATTAAAGGTTCGTGAACAATGTCGACAATAATTTTATTAATATGACATTCGATAAAATATCCCAGGGATTAAATTTACTCCTTATGATCAATTCGCGTTATAACGAAGTTCTTTCTTAAATCGTCGTTCTCGTTGATGCCAGAAAAATATTATCAAGTAAATGTAAAGCAACGTATTGCATAATATTTTACACATAATAGACATAATGTGTCTAATGATGTGTTTTATCGCGATATATTGGAGATATAAACTTGGGTAATTCTAGCGATGGATTTTGAAAAGTCCGTTGCGTCCATAATTTTTTCACAATTTCCAGGGACGACCGTGTGGAATACGATTACAACCACGGCATCTTAGATAATACCTTTGAGAGTACGCGAGCTCCTTAATCCAATGGCCCATAAGCCCATGGAGTTTAAAAATAATTCATATAATAAAGTAGTCTGGCGTTCTCTCTCGTCGAGCTGAAAAGCGATAATAAAGGAGATTTCGAAGGGCGTGATTAAGAGTTTATCCATTAATCAAAGCGATGAATCAAAGTTGTCGTAAATCTCGATGGATCGAGAGGATTGATTTTTTTTTTTTTTTTTGGAAAAAGAAATTGAGAAATCACAATTGTTAACGGCATTACCGTCAACATAAAATCGACGTGCGATTGGATTGGTAAGAGTGTAAGGTGATCGAAAAACACAGAGAACAATGTATCGGTTATGTGGGGCGTCCTCGTCGTCGCGAGTAATATTGAAATAAATGCCGAGGCGTAGTTGCCCGTAGACGTAAATCGCGGTGGCGCTTCCACATCCTCTACCTGGCTTTTCCTTTGTCCCGTGGAATTCATGGCTTTCGCCATGTAAGCGCGGCATAGTTTCGACAATCTACTACGAAAGCACATAAATGATGGGCCGAGTTCGTTTAGAAGTTTGGCGGATTGCGCAATGTTTGCCTCTTTATCGTGTATTAATTGCCAACAATTGGTGCGGTTTTATTATCGTGCTTTGCGGAATAGCTGAGTAGGGTCGATGTGGGACAGTGCCTTTATTTAACACACACAGAGAGAGAGAGAGAGAAAAGAAAAAAAGGATGTGCCTCGGTGGTGATGTGAATTATTGGTAAACAATAAAGATAGCGGGACAATACAGTCGTCCGTCTTTGTCGCAGATAAATATTCGCAGATAAATATTGAACGTGACTACGGTTACCCTGCAAATTGTAGTGCTTTCTAACTCCGATGCCTCAAGCGTATCCCGATAGAATAATAAACGATCAAAAACTAGGAAAAACTTTTTTAAATTTAGTCGAAAAAGCAATTATCCGCCAAGAGCGTTCACGTGTCAAATATAAGTTAGTTAGTTCATTTTACGCTATTTAATATACTTGCTCGACTAGCGCTATCGAACATTTGCCGTTCAATATTATAAAATAATAGGAATCCCTTAAAAGCCAAGAAGTACTCGGTACTCGTGAATGCTGATCCCATGATTGAAAAGAGGAGCGAAGGTTGGATGGATGGAGGAGGAAACTCCGCGCATTTTTACGCAACCATCGCACCTATAACGATCCTTATCCCCTCACATACAAAATATATCCGACCTCTGCTCTGTGCACACCTGCATTATTAACATTGCTATTGTAAAAATCCTTTGCCACCATTGTGCACCTCCTACAAGCCGGGCTTTGTTGATATTTTCATTTTAACAATCTATTTTACATTAGTCTCGTCTCAATGCCCAACCTTTCAGTCATCATTATTATTTCATCGTAATTTCAAACACTGCTGATGATTTATCTTTGTTGCTTCATACTTAAAGTAGTTGGATAAAATTTCAAAATTCATATTTAACATTAGTTTGTAATGAGCGATATGTGTGAATGTTGGGTGACGCGGCGGGAGGGCGGGGGGGGGGGGGATGGGCGGGGAGAAAGGATTAACCTAGTTAATTTCAA